AGCCTACACTGGTTTTAAGGGAAATCGGCGCGGTGAGAGATGATGATTATGATGAAGATAATCATGATGATTATGATGTCAGGATGGACAGTTTTTACACGGATTACCAATTTCTATGGATCATTTGTGGCGAAAGACATTGTGCGTCCACTCGATGCATGCCTCACTGCTGGAGCAGGTATTGTCCGTGCTAAATGTGCCTTGCCAAAATGATGGTACCTGACAGAAGACCGTGTCCGGTTCCAATTGATTGGTAACATACTGTTGCTTTTTTAGACTGAATCAAAATACATGCATTTGTGAAAGCGTGTTTAAATTAACCTGTGGTGTTTTTAATACAATTGGATCTGTTACTTGTGAAGTTTAATGTCAATTTGACGTCTCTTTGCCCTCTGCATATTCAGTTTCCATTTGTCCAGGAACGTCATCAGTCCAAGTACATCTGGCATCACATGCACCACCTTAAAGCCAACAAGCGATGGTAGTTGCAATGTTGTCTCTCCTACGAGCTACCATTTCCCGAACCAAATCAGACCTAAACTTGCTTTATTGTGTATCCTGTCGAATCAATCACGTTAACTCCAACATTGTGTATGCTGTCGCACAGACAGACAATCACTCATTCACAGTCTCTTGAACCAGATCAGACCTAATCTTGCTTTATCCCGAATCACGTTAACTCCAACATTGTGTATGCTGTCGCGCAGACAGACAATCACTCATTCACAGTCTCTTGAACCAGTTCAGACCTAATCTTGCTTTATCCTGAATCACGTTAACTCCAACATTGTGTATGCTGTCGCGCAGACAGACAATCACTCATTCACAGTCTCTTCGAAATGTCGGTTAAATTGTGTTCGCGGCAACGAAAAACGGGACGCAGCTATTCTCAGACTGTACTTACCAAATCGGTCTGTACAAGGTACAATCTGTACAAGGTAGGAATGCATATTTATTACTATCCATTTGCATAATTACTGGTTCGATTTGTATATGCAGTTTTCACATCCGACAGACACATACGAGCGAATCTTTTTGTATCATTTGAATGTTACTATGGCGATGTTGTTCAGCAAACAGAAACAAACGTTGTATTGAACATACTGAGTATATATTACATATACTGAGGGACAAAAATAAGGGATCACATGAAAGCACGTGTTCCTTTATTTTTTCCCAGATCTTCTTCACAAGCTTTGCACCGCGCAGCTTATGAAGAAATTGGGAAGAAATCAGGGAACACTTGAGCTTTCATGTGATCCCGTATTTTTTCCCTCGGTATATGATATGGTGTTAATCTTGCACTTTGTTTTTCAAGGCTTTGCCTGTTGTTTCTCGTTATGAAATATATATATATAATTTATATGGAGTTAACAGTTATCAGTTTCTGGTTACTGTAATTAAGTAATTTATTGAGGTCGATATTTGATACTTAAATGTTTGTGCTTTTGAAAGTTTTAATATAGATCATTATGCATTATAAATCCGTCTTTTATGAGTTTTTTGCAGCTTAGAGTTTATCGTTACCTACGATATGACGTTTTTCTTGCTGTTGATTGTTTAGATATTTATAACCTGTTTTTGATAACCGTTATTGCTATACTGCTGTATGTAACCTCCTGTACAAAAAGGTTTCGTTAATATTTCTTTAAAAATCTAATTCTCGTTTGTATGATTTGATATTTCAGTGTGTCATATTCTAGTTGTCAATCGACATTAATATTACCCGGATAAAACTTATCCGTGGTCATTATTTCCACGTCAAAATATGATCCTGTTTATATACGTCTCGATTAAAGTAATGTCTGTTCCTTATTCGTGCTTTCGTTGCTACAAATACACACGATCGATCTGTTTGGGTTCTTTTAAAATGCAAACACCTCCGGAATCCAAACTCAAATAATTATTCATCATTATATAAGCAATGGAATGTGACTTTTGGCACTGCGTGTGGTGTCCAAAGAGACGAAATGCATGTGGCGGATCGTCTGTGTATATGGTGTCTGAAATGAGGTACGCCATAGGATGAACCTTTCACGTGAGTGGTGTCTGAGATGAGGTACGCCAGAGGATGAACCTTTCACGTGAAATGAGGTACGCCAGAGGATGACCCTTTCACGGATGAACCCAGAGGATGAACCTTTCACGTTAGTGGTGTCTGAGAAAGGTGAGGTACGCTGATAGGGTATGAACCTTTCACGTGAGTGGTGTCTGAAATGAGGTACGCCATAGGATGAACCTTTCACGTGAGTGTGTCTGAAATGAGGTACGCAACAGGATGAACCTTTCACGTGAGTGGTGTCTGAAGTGAGGTACGCCATAGGATGAACCTTTCATGTGAGTGGTGTCTGAAATGAGGTACGCAATAGGATGAACATTTCACGTGTCTGAGAGGTCAACATGTCTGTCTGAAATGAGGTACGCCACAGGATGAACCGGTCATGCATGTGAGTGAGCACGGTTTTACGGCGCTTTTAGCAATGTTCCAGCAATATCATGGCGGGGACCACCAGGAACGGACTTCACACATTGTACCCATGAACCCAATCGAACCCTGGTCTTCGGCGTAACGAGCGAACGCTTTAACCACACCGCTACGTTTATGTGCATGAATGGTGTACAAAATGGGTCTGACACCACATGCAATCGTCCGTATGAAAGATGTCAATGTGGTGACTTACGCAAAATGGCTACGTCTTATGATAACTACGTTCTAAAGATATGCGGAACAATCGTCCGCATAACTACGTACGATTCAAAGCGGAACGAGATGTCAAAAGATGCAATGGAACGAATGACTTACGTACAACTTATTTGCGGAACAATGACTGACTGGCAATGCGGAGAATGACTTAGTTTTACGCCGCTTTTTAGCAATAGTCCAGCAATATCACGGCGGGGACACCAGAAATGGGCTTCACACATTGTGCCCATGTGGGGAATCGAACCCGGGTCTTCGGCGTGACGAGCTTATTTACAAAGAGATGTATGCGTTTGAGTAAGTGATTCATGTATATTTGTGTCAAAATGAGGAACGGTGGGGATCTGTATTCTGACCTCGATCCCAAAGCAATCCAAACAAATAAGGAAATCATGGTTGTGAGTGTCTTGAACAGAATCTGATCAAGGCACACCCGGCCCTTCAAACCCCTTTGCTTGGTATTGTGCTGACCAATCCCTTGCTGAAGACAGAGCACATACACGCACATGGCGTTCAACATGTTTTATTTGACAACATAATATACAGGTTTATATGTCTGTATTCAGATAGACCCTGTGTGCCCTTAGAGCACCTCATTGTGTTACCAGACAGCACGTCAAACCTCAAAACTTATTGATAAATATACATTACATTGTTTTTTTATCACATCATATCACATAATCTCACCCCGAGATACTTCGGGATATCCAATTTTTGAAGGTCCCCAATATTACTGATAACATATTTCTCGTCATCTTCAATCTTGTACTCATTTCGCAGAAAAACAAAATCTTAGCTCTTGGTAATCTTTCCAATTATTCTCATCACCTGACAGATCCTGAAATGACATAAATCCTATTTCACATGAAAAGCAAACATTGTAATAAGAATGCATTTTCTTCAATATCTGCGTTATTAAATTTCTGACATTACTTAAGCATTAAACAGGAAATGTTCTAACTCTACTTAATGAGAATATACAATTTTTGTGATATATATGCTGTAATTAAATACTAAATACTACTTCTTTATATATCTGGCAAAGAGCACCAGTAATTATTAAGCTGTGTTAGAATGGCCACTATCAACCTGATCGCAGCCTCACCAAGAAAGGTTCTTACAGTAAGCAAGCAGTGCTGGAGCTACTGCCAAATACGACAGTCTATAGTTTCAGTGGGCCCACAAACAAATTAAATCACACACCGACCGTTTAGGTAGCACTACATCATCTTTGTCAAGCACCCTGGCCTTGCATGTGGAAAACTCAGTAAGCCATGACTCAAGAAAGAAGAACGACTCACCAGTCGTCCTTGGAATCTTTTCACTAAAATATAGGAACTTAAATGCTCAACAACAATTAAGTTAAGAACCACCCCAATATTCAATATCTAAGTATTATATTGATCATGATATGAACAATTATATTCTTTTATTTTGAAAATGGGGTGGTCCATAACTATTTCTGTTGAGTATGTATAACCTACACATAGCATTAACATCTACCCGGGAACTTGAAGGCCAAGGAGCAAGGAAAGTCAATTTTCTTTGTGATATATCATTTATAAGTCGTTTAGTATCACTGTTAATAGACTTGACTTTAATTATTTAGTGTAGGGCTTTACTTCAAGAACACTGGCAATGAATCATAACCTGGTTGGTTACCATGGTTACAGTTTCAGTAGAGTAGACGTAGCAGTTCACATCATAAAAAACTCAATCAATCTACAGGGGTGGAAATAACCCATTGCCCGACGTCCGAGTCTAGTGTTTTTTTTCTGTCGGGAAAGCAAATTTGTATTTCACACTGTACTGGTGTCCAGTTGACTTTCCAATGTTAATTATGTTGTTTATTTAACAAATCAACAAGAAAACGGATGGTATAGTGGAAAAAGTATCAAGGCAAGTGATTTTACATATGCCACTGTACCGGAGTACACTAGCAATTTTAAAGTTATTTCCACCCCTGATCTACCTGTTAATTATCCTCCAAATTACAAAAGTATCCCTATTACGGAGAGCTTCAATTCTTGATATCATTGTAGCACTACGTTGAACAATTGTCATCATAATAGCCCAACAGATGGCTGCGACTGCCTTTTGCAAATGACGCCTGGGTCGTAACGTTACCAACGCTTTTTGGAATGGGAGCCCTGTATAATGACGAAATGGAGTAGTGCACTATATTGTAAAATTGGATGATTATTTTAATTACATGATCTTCAACATGTTTACAATTCTTGCAAATACATTGTAAAATCAACATTATTGTGCATCCCTTGTGATGCAACATATTCTTTTCTACATCATTCTATTCTACATTTCTCATACAGGAAGCACTACTCTGTATCATGTAAAGCCCTGGTATCCTTGTACCTTGTTATTTATTTATTTATTATTTATTATAGGATATTTATATAGCGCACATATCCACGCACTGGTGCATGCTCAAGGCGCTGGTATTTTTTCCCTCAATCATTGGATGTCAATCTCAACGGCACATCGCATTATCAATCTCAACTCCCTGGGGAGTATACAACACTTGCAGCCACTAGGCGCACCGAGTTATTGTGGCTTTCTCATCCTAACGAGGTTTCCGACACAAAAAAACAGCTCCACACAGAATAAACAGCCCTTTTCAGGTACTGCACTACATGAACACGTCAGGTCTAGGTGTGCTCAACTGGATTGGGTTTTAATAATTACGATGTATTTTTTGGCTTCTTTGTCCAGAAACTGTCTCCATAAAAAGGTCGAAATCTACACATCTGTTCCAAATATTACCCTTTAACCTGTTTCATATTGTGTGGTGTATCATGTAACCGCTACTTTTAACGTCACATAGGGCAGTCCGTATAAAACACCAATATACCTGCAGCCTGAATTAATCAATACTTGTTTGCGCCATCACCTGTGACAACATTATTACATGAACACATGACACCATCATATATAAAACTCTGCTGGACTCAACTGAACCAACATTTTACAACCTTGTAAACACACAACATTAAGTACAGTAAAAAGGACAAATAACTGGTAATTCTCTTCACCAAAACATACCTAATTCATAAAGCAATAAACATATTTCTACAGACTACATCAGCTGAGAGAGTGAGTGAGTGAGAGTGAGTTTAGTTTTACTCGGCGGCGTCTGTAAATAATCGAGTCAGACAATATTAACAGCATGAGCATCAATATGTCAGCTGGACCACCTTCTTACGACAAGGTAGGGCTGGGATGATACTCTTGTTTCCTAAACGGGTAAACTTTTTAAAAGAACAAAACAACACAAGATGCTAATGTTCACATTTAGTTTTGGATATGACCACATTCTTCCTGATCTTAGGACAAAGATAAGCTTAAGGTAATTTCAGTGCAAGCATGACCAGATCATTTTACACACCACCTAAATATGTTTGCTTGAGTAAAACAATCACCAATAAATTACTTCACACTAAACTCGTGAATGAGTGAGTGAGTTTGGTCACTCACCAGACTACCCCACCCCACACTCTTGAGACCAACAGCAGGTAATCGGGTGGGCTGGTACCCTGGTCTTAAATCTGGACCAATCCCATCCCTACTGAGAATAAAGCATTATTGTGAAAACAAGGTCCCTTTATGGAAGAACATCCAAACATCACTGTGTAGCCATTTCATTGACAAGCTTTAAACTTTTCGATAAAAAAGCACCTTTTGGGCCTTTTGTTACTTTCATAACATATTAATTACAAAGAAAGTTGACTCTGTGAGCCAGTCAGTTATTTCAGGTGTAAGATTAATGACTACACATAGAGTTAGAGCATCATTACATTTTATAATTACACACTAACCTAATGTTTATTGGGACTTGAATATATAACAAACACTATTGCTACACCATGTTGATATCATTCACAGGGGAAATAGTTAAATACAATCGCATATTTGTGACACAGAAGTGTATTGCTGTTGGAAGATATGTGACGTTCACTAAAATATTTTAGCTAAATGAGATCTATAAGTGAATGACCAGATGAAGTGAGGATGAGTGACTGAATGTTATTTTATGGCAATGACGGGACAATGACGTATAAACCAGCGCCATGTTCCAAACAACAGTCTTATAGCTAAGATTGTTGTAATAGCTCTGTTTGTGAGTGAGTGAGTCAGTGAATCAGTTTAGTTTTACACCACTTTTAACAGCGACAAATCACTTGTATCCATGTTTGTTTGTATATTGACCTCATTAACATATTTGTCCAATCGTAATATCTAGATCACCACATTGGTTGCTTAACATCGGTGACACTGTCCTCTGCACGATGTACTGATATCCAACGTTGTTTTCAACCTACAGGCTCCAGCCTACACTGGATTTAAGGGAAATCGGCGCGGTGAGAGATGATGATTATGATGAAGATAATCATGATGATTATGATGTCAGGATGGACAGTTTTTACACGGATTACCAATTTCTATGGATCATTTGTGGCGACAGACATTGCCCGCCCACCCGATGCATGCCTCACTGCTGGAGCAGGTATTGTCCGTGCTAAATGTGCCTTGCCAAAATGATGGTACCTGATAGAAGGCTGTGTCCAGTTCCAATTGATTGGTAACATACTGTTGCTTTTTTAGATTGAACCAAAATACATGCATTTGTGAAAGCGTGTTTAAATTAACCTGTGGTGTTTTTAATACAAATGGATCTGTTACTTGTGAAGTTTAATGTCAATTTGACGTCTCTTTGCCCTCTGCATATTCAGTGTCCATTTCCACCCCAGGAACATCATCCGTCCAAGTACATCTGGCATCATATGCACCACCTTAAAGCCAACAAGCGATGGTAGTTGCAATGATGTCTCTCCTACGAGCTACCATTTCTCGAACCAGATCAGACCTAAACTTGTTTTATCCTGAATCACGTTAACTCCAATATTGTGTATGCTGTCGCGCAGACAGACAATCACTCATTCACAGTCTCTTGAACCAGATCAGACCTAAACTTGCTTTATCTCGAATTACGTTAACTCCAACATTGTGTATGCTGTCGCGCAGACAGACAATCACTCATTCACAGTCTCTTGAACCAGATCAGACCTAAACTTGCTTTATCCTGAATCACGTTAACTCCAACATTGTGTATGCTGTCGCGCAGACAGACAATCACTCATTCAGTCTCTTGAACCAGATCAGACCTAAACTTGCTATATCCCGAATCACGTTAACTCCAACATTGTGTATGCTGTCGCGCAGACAGACAATCACTCATTCACAGTCTCTTGAACCAGATCAGACCTAAACTTGCTTTATCCCGAATCACGTTAACTCCACCATTGTGTATGCTGTCGCACAGACAGACAATCACTCATTCACAGTCTCTTGAACCAGTCGACCTAAACTGCTCCCGAATCACGTTAACTAACATTGTGTATGCTGTCGCGCAACAGACAATCACTCATTCACAGCTCTTCGAAATGTCGGTTAAATTGTACTACGGCAACGAAAAACGGTATTCTCAGACTGTATGTACCAAATCGGTCTGTACAATCTGTACAAGGTGGGAATGCATATTTATAACTATCCATTTGCATAATTACTGGTTCGATTTGTATATGCAGTTTTCACATCCGACAGACACATACAAGCGAATCTTTTTGTATCATTTGAATGTTACTATGGCGATGTTGTTCAGCAAACAGAAACAAACGTTGTATTGAACATACTGAGTATATATTACATATACTGAGGGACAAAAATAAGGGATCACATGAAAGCACGTGTTCCTCTATTTTTTCCCAGGTCTTCTTCACAAGCTTTGCACCGCACAGCTTGTGAAGAAATTGGGAAGAAATCAGGGAACACTTGAGCTTTCATGTGATCCCGTATTTTTCCCTCGGTATATGATATGGTGTTAATCTTGCACTTTGTTTTTCAGGGCTTTGCCTGTTGTTTCTCGTTATGACATATATATATATATAATTTATATGGAGTTAACAGTTATCAGTTTCTGGTTACTGTAATTAAGTAATTTATTGAGGTCGATATTTGATACTTAAATGTTTGTGCTTTTGAAAGTTTTAATATAGATCATTATGCATTATAAATCCGTCTTTTATGAGTTTTTTGCAGCTTAGAGTTTATCGTTACCTACGATATGACGTTTTTCTTGCTGTTGATTGTTTAGATATTTATAACCTGTTTTTGATAACCGTTATTGCTATACTGCTGTATGTAACCTCCTGTACAAAAGGGTTTCTTTAATATTTCTTTAAAAATCTAATTCTCGTTTGTATGATTTGATATTTCAGTGTGTCATATTCTAGTTGTCAATCGATATTAATATTACCCGGATAAAACTTATCCGTGGTCATTATTTCCATGTCAAAATATGATCCTGTTTATATACGTCTCGAGTAAAGTAATGTCTGTTCCTTATTCGTGCTTTCGTTGCTACAAATACACACATTCGATCTGTTTGGGTTTTTAAAATGCAAACACCTCCGGAATCCGAACTCAAATAATTATTCATCATTATATAAGCAATGGAATGTGACTTTTGGGACTGCGTGTGGTGTCCAAAGTGACGAAATGCATGTGGTGGATCGTCTGTGTATATGGTGTCCGAGATGAGGTACGCCATAGGATGAACCTTTCACGTGAGTGGTGTCTGAAATGAGGCACGCCATGGGATGAACCTTTCACGTTAGTGGTGTCTGAAATGAGGTACGCCATAGGATGAACCTTTCACGTGAGTGGTGTCTGAAATGAGGTACACCATGGGATGAACCTTTCACGTGAGTGGTGTCTGAAATGAGGTACGCCACAGGAGGAACCTTTCACGTGAGTGTCTGAAATGAGGTATGCCTTAGGATGAACCTTTCACGTGAGTGGTGTCTGAAATGAGGTACGCCATAGGATGAACCTTTCACGTGAGTGGTGTCTGAAATGAGGTACGCCACAGGAGGAACCTTTCACGTGAGTGTCTGAAATGAGGTATGCCTTAGGATGAACCTTTCACGTGAGTGGTGTCTGAAATGAGGTACGCCATAGGATGAACCTTTCACGTGAGTGTCTGAAATGAGGTATGCCTTAGGAGGAACCTTTCACGTGAGTGGTGTATGAAATGAGGTACGCCATAGGATGAACCTTTCACGTGAGTGGTGTCTGAAATGAGGTACGCCATAGGATGAACCTTTCACGTGAGTGGTGTCTGAAATGAGGTACGCCACAGGATGAACCTTTCACGTGAGTGGTGTCTGAAATGAGGTACGCCATAGGATGAACCTTTCACGTGAGTGGTGTCTGAAATGAGGTACGCCATAGGATGAACCTTTCACGTGAGTGGTGTCTGAAATGAGGTACATCATAGGATGAACATTTCACGTGAGAGTGGTGTCTGAAATGAGGTACGCCACAGGATGAACCGGTCATGCATGTGAGTGAGCACGGTTTTACGGCGCTTTTAGCAATGTTCCAGCAATATCATGGCGGGGACCACCAGGAACGGACTTCACACATTGTACCCATGAACCCAATCGAACCCTGGTCTTCGGCGTAACGAGCGAACGCTTTAACCACACCGCTACGTTTATGCATGTGGTGTATGTACCCTTATGAATAGTGTGGTGTACAAAATGGGTCTGACACCATATACAATCGTCCGTACGTTCTAAAGATGTCAATGCGGAACGAATGACTTACGTACAACTTATTTACAATGACTGACTGGCTGAGTTTAGTTTTACGCCGCTTTTAGCAATAGTCCAGCAATATCACGGCGGGGGACACCAGAAATGGGCTTCACACATTGTGCCCATGTGGGGAATCGAACCGGGGTCTTCGGCGTGACGAGCTTATTTACAAAGAGATGTACGCGTTTGAGTAAGTGATTCATGTATATTTGTGTGAAAATGAGGAACGGTGGGGATCTGTATTCTGACCTCGATCCCAAAGCAATCCAAACAAATAAGGGAAATCATGGTTGTGAGTGTCTTGAACAGAATCTGATCAAGACACATCCGGCCCTTCAAACCCCTTTGTTTGGTATTGTGCTGACCAATCCCTTGCTGAAGACAGAGCACATACACGCACATGGTGTTCAACATGTTTTATTTGACAACATAATATACAGGTTTAGATGTCTGTATTCAGATAGACCCTGTGTGCCCTTAGAGCACCTCATTGTGTTACCAGACAGCATGTCAAACCACAAACTGTTCAACTCTTCACACATCTCAAAACTTATTGATAAATATGCATTACATTGTTTTTTTATCACATCATATCACATAATCTCACCCCGAGATACTTCGGGATATCAAATTTTTGAAGGTCCCCAATATTACTGATAACATATTTCTCGTCATCTTCAATCTTGTACTCATTTGGCAGAAAAACAAAATCTTAGCTCTTGGTAATCTTTCCAATTATTCTCATCACCTGACTGGTGCAGCCTTAAGAAGACACTTTAACAGATCCTGAAATGACATAAATCCTATTTCACATGAAAAGCAAACATTGTAATAAGAATGCATTTTCTTCAATATCTGCGTTGTTAACTTTCTGACATTACTTAAGCATTAAACAGGAAATGTTCTAACTCTACTTAATGAGAATATACAATTTTTGTGATATATATGCTGTAATTAAATACTAAATACTACTTCTTTATATATCTGGCAAAGAGCACGAGTAATTATTAAGCTGTGTTAGAATGGCCACTATCAACCTGATCGCAGCCTCACCAAGATCGGTTCTTACAGTAAGCAAACAGTGCTGGAGCTACTGCCAAATACGACAGTCTATAGTTTCAGCGGGCCCACAAACAAATTAAATCACACACCAACCGTTTTGGTAGCACTACATCATCTTTGTCAAGCACCCTGGCCTTGCATGTGGAAAACTCAGTAAGCCATGACTCAAGAAAGAAGAACGACTCACCAGTCGTCCTTGGAATCTTATCACTAAAATGCTCAACAACAAAAGTTAAGAACCACCCCAATATTCAATACATGTATGTAAGTATTATATGGATCATAATATGAGCTATTAAATACTTTATATTGAAAATGAGGTGGTCCTTAACTATTTCTGTTGAGTATATATAACCTATACATAGCATTAACATCTACTCGGGAACTTGAAGGGCAAGGTGCAAGGAAAGTCAATTATCTTTGTGATATATCATTTATAAGTCGCTTTAGTATCACTGTTAATAGACTTGACTTTAATTATTTAGTGTAGGGCTTTACTTCAAGAACACTGGCAATAAATCATAACCTGGTTGGTTACCATGGTTACAGTTTCAGTAGAGTAGATGTAGCAGTTCACATCATAAAAAACTCAATCAATCTACAGGGGTGGAAATAACCCATTGCCCGACGTCCGAGTCCAGTGTTTTTTTCTGTCGGGAAAGCAAATTTGTATATCACACTGTACTGGTGTCCAGTTGACTTTCCAATGTTAATTATGTTGTTTATTTAACAAATCAACAAGAAAACGGATGGTATAGTGGAAAAAGTATCAGGGCAAGTGATTTTACATATGCCACTGTACCGGAGTACACCAGCAATTTTAAAGTTATTTCCACCCCTGATCTACCTGTTAATTATCCTCCAAATTACAAAAGTATCCCTATTACGGAATGGGGGAGCTTCAATTCTAGATATCATTGTAGCACTATAAGTCTACTTTGAACAATTGTTGTCAAAATAGTCTAACATATGGCTGTGACTGCCTTTTGCAAATGACGCCTGGGTCGTAACATTACGAACACTTTTTGAACACTTTTTGGATCGGAGCCCTATATAATGAGGAAATGGAGTAGTGCACTATATTGTAAAATTGGATGATTATTTTAATTACATGATCTTCAACATGTTTACAATTCTTGCAAATATATTGTACAATCAACATTACTGTGCATCCCTTGTGATGCAACATATTCTTTTCTACATCATTCTAGTCTACATTTCTCATACAGGAAGCACTAGTCTGTATCATGTAAAGCCCTGGTATCCGTGTACCTTGTTCCGACACAATAAACCAGCTCCATACAGAATACACAGCCCTTATCACGTACTGCACTACATGAACACGTCCGGAACACGTCAGGTCTAGGTGTGCTCAACTGGATTGGGTTTGAATAATTACGGCTTCTTTGTGCAGAAACTGTCTCCATAAAAAGGTCGAAATCTACACATCTGTTCCAAATATTACCCTGTAACTTGTTTCATATTGTGTGGTGTATCATGTAACCGCTACTTTTAACGTCACATAGGGCAGTCCGTATAAAACACCAATATACCTGCAGCCTGAATTAATCAATACTTGTTTGCGCCATCACCTGTGACAACATTATTACATGAACACATGACACCATCATATATAAAACTCTGCTGGACTCAACTGAACCAACATTTTACAACCTTGTAAATACACAACATTAAGTACAGTAAAAAGGACAAATAACTGGTAATTCTCTTCACCAAAACATACCTAATCCATAAAGCAATAAACATATTTCTACAGACTACATCAGCTGAGAGAGTGAGTGAGAGTGAGTTTAGTTTTACTCGGCACTCAGCAATATTATAGCTATATGGCGGCGGTCTGTAAATAATCGAGTCTGGACCAGACAATCCAGGGATCAACAGCATGAGCATCAATCTGCGCAATTGGCAGTCAGCGAGACCATCCGATTCTGTTTGCCGCCTCTTACGATAAGCATAGGTTGCTTGTCTTCATGGGTACCATCAGCTGAGCAGTTGGGCTGGGATGGTACTCTTGTTTCTTGGGACCTAAATGGTACCATCAGCTGAGAGGTAGGGCTGGGATGGTACTCTTGTTTCCTAAACGGATAAACTTTTTAAAAGAACAAAACAACACAAGACGCTAATGTTCACATTTAGTTCTGGATATGTCCACATTCTTCCCTATCTTAGGACAAAGATAAGCTTAAGTTAATTTCAGTGCAAGCATGACCAGATCATTTTACTCACCACCTAAATATGTATGCTTGAGTAAAACAATCACCAATAAATTACTTCATACCAAACTCGTGAATGAGTGAGTGAGTTTGGTCACTCACCAGACTACCCCACCCCACACTCTTGAGACCAACAGCAGGTAATCGGGTGGGCTGGTACCCTGGTCTTAAATCTGGACCAATCCCATCCCTACTGAGAATAAAGCATTATTGTGAAAACAAGGTCCCTTTATGGAAGAACATCCAAACATCACTGTGTAGCCATTTCATTGACAAGCTTTAAACTTTTCGATAAAAAAGCACCTTTTGGGCCTTTTGTTACTTTCATAACATATTAATTACAAAGAAAGTTGACTCTGTGAGCCAGTCAGTTATTTCAGGTGTAAGATTAATGACTACACATAGAGTTAGAGCATCATTACATTTTATAATTACACACTAACCTAATGTTTATTGGGACTTGAATATATAACAAACACTATTGCTACACCATGTTGATATCATTCACAGGGGAAATAGTTAAATACAATCGCATATTTGTGACACAGAAGTGTATTGCTGTTGGAAGATATGTGACGTTCACTAAAATATTTTAGCTAAATGAGATCTATAAGTGAATGACCAGATGAAGTGAGGATGAGTGAATGAATGTTATTTTATGGCAATGACGGGACAATGACGTATAAACCAGCGCCATGTTCCAAACAACAGTCTTATAGCTAAGATTGTTGTAATAGCTCTGTTTATGAGTGAGTGAGTCAGTGAATCAGTTTAGTTTTACACCACTTTTAACAATATTCCAGCAATATCATGGCGGGGGGACACCAGACATGGGCTTCACACATTGTACCCATGTGAGGAATCAAACCCAAGTCTTCAGCGTGACAAGCAAGTGCTTTAACCACTAGGCTACCCCTCCGCCTGTTTCGACACAGTCTGTGGTTGTTGCATTGACATCACCTCACAGAACAGGACACGGTGTAACTCTGTCACAAGCAAATCTCCCACAATAAGCTATATCACGGTGTGTTGGCTTAACGTGGGAAGACAGTGACGCAAGTGTCAGACATTGACCAGCACGGTGAAACCCAGGAGTTAGGTGCTGGCAAACCTACAATCAATCCCAGAGAATCTGGATCTGAACCTACAACCACAAGTTTTGGTGTGCCAAAGGGACACATCTCTGTACAACAAACTGTAGCACCTTTGACCACTGGGCCACCAGGAAACCGAATCCTACATGCCGAAGAGGCATAACTCTGAACGTGACGGTGAGTTTATTTTTTCACCGCCTTTGCAATATTCCAGCAATATCACGGTGGGGACACCCAAAATGAGCTTCACACATTGTACCCATGTGGGGAATCGAACCCAGGACTTTGGTGTGGCGAGCAAACGCTTTAACCACTAGGCTACCCCACTGCCCCAACTCTGAACGTGAAGACCTGTACACCACGTGTAAAGCTTGACTGGTTTACCATGACTATGATGATCCTACATGATAGCCTATAAGCGTAAAGGTCAAGGCAAGATCAAATGATTGGTTATATGTTTCATAAATATTACACACAAGCCAGAGACTAGAGCAAAATACCGTGCTTTTGTGGAAGCGTGTTGACTGGCATGTGTTCATCTTGTGCCGTGACCACTTAAAGTTCAATAGAAGAATGTCACAAAAATATGAATTCTGTAATCTGTGGAACACATTACAATAATCAGTAAACATAAACACAGTTCATTGGAATGAAGCAGATTAAGGACATTATTCCTTCATTTTAGGTTCACAGCTTCCGTTAATTAATTAACTTTCTATTGCTATGAGTACAGAATAAGTCATTTACATCATGGTGATGTTACCATGGTAACGAAAACAAACAAAAACAAGGTAACAACACTAAGCAAGACAGCGTAACAATGCTTTCTGTAACAAAGAAATAATTATGATGATAAATATCAATATGTACAGACTATGTTAAATATTGTCTCAAGTAGGTGATGACACTATGAGGTTACTATCTACATGTGTCATGACACAAGGAAGTGGCCATCAACACAATGTCATGACACAAGGAAGTGGCCATCAACACAATGTCATGACACAAGGAAGTGGCCATCAACACAATGTCATGACATGAGGAAGTGACCATCAACACAATGTCATGACACAAGGAAGTGGCCATCAACACAATGTCATGACACAAGGAAGTGGCCATCAACACAATGTCATGACATGAGGAAGTGACCATCAACACAATGTCATGACACAAGGAAGTGGCCATCAACACAATGTCATGACACAAGGAAGTGACCATGAACACAATGTCATGACACAAGGCAGTGGCCATCAACACAATGTCATGACATGAGGAAGTGGTCATCAACACAATGTCATGACACAAGGAAAAGGCCATCAACACAATATCACGACACAAACGGTGGCATCCAGAAATAAGTCAAGCCACCAGAAGATGAATGTCAACAGGCTATGACCCATGAGGTGGCTGTTGATCATGAGAAAGGTCATGACACAAGATGTGGCTGTCCACAAAGGTCATGACACAAGATGTGGCTGTCCACAAAGGTCATGACACAAGGATGTGACTGTTCACAAAGGTCATGACACAAGATGTGGCTGTCCACAAAGGTCATGACACAAGACGTGGTGGTTGTCACAAAGGTCATGACACAAGATGTGTCTGTCCACAAAGGTCATGACACAAGACGTGGTTGTCCACAAAGAAGTCATGACACAAGGTGTGACTGTTCACAAAGGTCATGACACAAGACGTGGTTGTTCACAAAGGTCATGACACAAGATGTGGCTGTCCACAAAGGTCATGACACAAGATGTGGCTGTCCACAAAGGTCAAGACACAAGACGTGGTTGTCCACACGAACTCAAGACACAAGCCTCAACATGCAACTGAACGTATGTGTCAAGACATTTGCATTCATTTGTAATGATTCATGACTGAAGACTAACGGTGAACTATCACAGTGCTGGCAAACAAGTTCCTCCTGACATTTTGAATAGCAATAATAATATTTACCCATGCAAACCTGGGTAATGGCTACTACAATCAACTCATATATGAACAGACTACACTGTGCAGACTGCATAGAAAGTGCAAGTGTTGAGGAGCATCTATCAGAATACTTGTCTGAATATATACAGCTAAAGTCAACCTTGTATCTCACATCACAGAAACTTGTGGAGATCTGACAACAAAGCAGCTGTGTCGAGTCTAGTTTTGAGTATTGAGTTATCTCTTCTCCCGTGTATGGCGTGCAATGTTCCGGGAAGACTTGTGTGATTTGTCCTGCTTGGTGTTCACAGGTGACTTCTTCTTGTAGAATCTCTCGAAAATACTGAGCAGCTGCGTCTCAACATCTCCCAGGTATGGCCTCATGGTTGAGTCTCTCTCCCAGCACTGCTGCATCAGGTTGGTACACGCCTCGTCAAACGTCGACAGCTTCTCAGGACGCAAGCCTGTAATACAGAACACCTCAAATAATGAAAGGCATCCAAATCTAAGGGAGATAACTTAGCACATAGAAGAAAATGAACAGAATCGTTTTCAACATTAAGTTCATCAAGGGAGGGACAGCAGGGTGAGGTGACGAGGTGGGGTGGGGTTAGGTGAGGTGGGGTGGGTGAGGTGAGGTGAGCTGGGGTGGGTGAGGTGAGGCGAGGTAAGATAGAGGGTGAGGTGGGGTGGGTGAGGTGGGGTGGGTTTGGGGCGAGGTGAAATAGGGTTCTAATAGGGAGCCATCGCTCCAATGACAATTCAATATACTCCTGACCCTTATATCACATAACTGACATTTTAACAGTAGTAATTTTACAGCATTTTTCCATCAGTATCAACCCTTGGCGAGACAACAGAGTGCTTCACACACTGTACTAAAACACAGAATCAGCCAAGTTCTTTTATATACAAAGCAACATTAAAAAAAACACAGCCAACACCTCTACCAAACCAGAAAAATCTCTACACAGTTCAGAAATGAAAACATCCACTTTGGAAGACTTCTATCGTGATTTGCTGTCTGAGATGACTGACCACTGTCCATCCTCACCTCCCCCATCCATCCCTTCAGATGTGACGTCCCTTGATGGACCATTTGGGAGGAACTGGGTATTGGATGTTACACGTACGAAGCCAAGAGTGAGTGAGTTAATTTTATGACGCTTTTATCAATATTCCAGCAATATCGTGGCAGAAGACACCAGAAATGGGCTTCACTCATTGTGGCCTTGTGGGGAATTGAACCAGATCTTCGTAGCGACAAGCAAAAGCTTTAACCGCTATCAAAGACAAGGTATTAACAAAGATAACGCATGAGTTGGGAAATGAGTTTAACCAGTTTGGAATCATTAACTGACATATGCTGCATCATAGATTATAGTATGATAATATTATTATTATTATTATTGATTCACATCAGACCTTTCGTAAATTGCCTACCTTTCTTGACTGACTGCCAGAGATGGTCTTTATTTGCACACTGCTCGAAGGCTGTGGGTAGTTTCACGTGACCAGCACAGATATACCAGAACAGGATACCAAACGCATACACGTCCACACTGTTGTCATAGCGACCAGTGAATAGTTCCGGCGCCATGTGTATAGGTGTGCCCACAATACTGCCACTCATCATGGCTTCAGGTTTACAGAAGCCGAGATCGGTGATCTTCCCACGGTTGTCACCGTCAAGCTGGGAAGAAAAATATCAATATTTGTTTGTTAGTTGTTTACCACCATGCACAGTAATATTCCAGCTGTACGTCTGTTTTAAGGAATAAAGTCTTGGTTCGACACTCCAGTAAGTCATATCAGGAGCATGAACTGACACAAATGGGATACAAAAAGTGTCTCTGAGTCTGACCACCTGATCATGTCAGTTGCATCATCTGATAAGCATGGGCTGCTGAAGATCAACTGGGAGTGAGGCAGTATTCCCCATTTATAAAATAAATGATAAGTCAAAAGAATTATGTCTGAACATTTAACACACCAAAACTGAAACAAAACAATAAACCCAAGGACAAATCCCCACACTGCACATTCACCTGTGAATGATAAGTAAACGTAATATTCCAGCTGTACGCCTGTTTGAAGGAATAAAGTCTTGGTCCGACACTCCAGTAAGTCATATCAGGAGCATGAACTGACACAAATGGGATACAAAGCTTGCCTCTGAGGCTGACCACGTGATCATGTCAGTTGCATGATCTGATAAGCATGGATTGCTGAAGATCAACACTAACATGGATCTTCATTAGAGTGATTCCCAACAGTCCACGCGAGTCAGTACCTAGAACCATTGATTGGGTATAAACTCAGCAGCTGTTCCTGGTCATTGATCAGTTGCTTATCACTTCGACAAGTCAGTGAGTGAGTGAGTATGGTTTTACGCCAATTCTACGCAATATTCCAGCAATATCACAGCGAGGAACACCAGAAATGGGCTTCACAAATTGTACCCATGTGGGGAATCAAACCCGGGTCTTTGGAGTGACAAGTGAACGCTTTAACCACTAGGCTACCCCACCGCCCCACTTCGACAAGTATTAAATGTATATCACATCATGTTGGAGACATGATGGAGGAAAGCCAAATGTGACTCAGATGTCGAAACTTTGTAATCTTGTGAAACCTGTGATCATAAGTAATATGGGTTCTAAACACCCACGTGACTCAAGGGATATAACTCTGCATCACTATGATTCATAGCATGTTCACATGACCATACGAACACCTGTACAATATCAAACATATGATGCACACACCTGATGTGACTGAGAGAGTGACTGAGAGAGTGAGTGAGTGAGTTGAGTTTAACGCCACACTCAGCAATAACCAGCTATATGGCGCAAGTCTGTAAAATAATCAAGTCTGGAACAGACAATCCAGTGATCATCATGAGCATCGATCTTCGCAACTGGGATACGATGACATATGTCAACCAAGTCAGCGAGCCTGACCACGGGATCCCGTTAGTCGCCTCTTATGACAAGCACGGGTTACTGAAGACCAATTCTAGCCCGGATCGCCATGGGTACAATGTGATTGAGTCTGGACCAGCCACACCAAGGGCTGAAAGCAAGAGCTACAGACCAGTGGCCTTGAATACATATAACATATGCAAGGAGTTTCCTGTATACTCACAAGCACATTCTTGAGTTTGATATCCCTGTGAACCAGTCCCTGGCTGTGAAGGAATCGGATCCCCTCCACCACATCAATGGCTATTTGTAACCTGGAAAACAAAACATCTTGTTGCAGAATAACCTGACTCACAATAAACATGGGAAGGAGAAGAGGGCTTACAAACATGTGTCTCACTCATCCCTGCTGATCCAGTCTAGTCGCTGTTTAATGGCGGTGTACAGATCTCAGTGTACAGATCTCACTCTACACATACCTGCTGATCCATTCAAGCTCCTGTTTAATTGCGGTGTACAGATCTCACTCTACACGTACCTCCTGATCCAGTCCAGACACTGTTTAATGGTGGCGTACTGATCTCAGTGTACAGATCTCACTCTACACGTACCTCCTGATCCAGTCCAGACACTGTTTAATGGTGGTGTACTGATCTCAGTGTACAGATCTCACTCTACACGTACCTCCTGATCCAGTCCAGACACTGTTTAATTGCGGTGTACAGATCTCACTCTACACGTACCTCCTGATCCAGTCCAGACACTGTTTAATGGTGGTGTACTGATCTCAGTGTACAGATCTCACTCTACACGTACCTCCTGATCCAGTCCAGACCCTGTTTAATGGTGGTGTACTGATCTCAGTGTACAGATCTCACTCTACACATACCTCCTGATCCAGTCCAGCCCCTGTTTAATGGTGGTGTACTGATCTCAGTGTACAGATCTCACTCTACACATACCTCCTGATCCAGTCCAGCCCCTGTTTAATGGTGGTGTACTGATCTCAGTGTAACGATCTCACTCTACACATACCTCCTGATCCAGTCCAGCCCCTGTTTAATGGTGGTGTACTGATCTCAGTGTACAGATCTCACTCTACACATACCTCCTGATCCAGTCCAGCCCCTATTTAATGGTGGTGTACAGATCTCAGTGTACAGATCTCACTCTACACATACCTCCTGATCCAGTCCAGCCCCTGTTTAATGGCGGTGTACAGATCTCCGTGTACAGATCTCACTCTAAACATACCTGCTGATCCAGTCCAGCCCCTGTTAATGGTGGTGCAGATCTCAGTGTACAGATCTCACTCTACACATACCTCCTGATCCAGTCCAGCCCCTGTTTAATGGCGGTGTACAGATCTCAGTGTACAGATCTCACTCTAAACATACCTGCTGATCCAGTCCAGCCCCTATTTAATGGTGGTGTACAGATCTCAGTGTACAGATCTCACTCTACACATACCTGCTGATCCAGTCCAGCCCCTGTTTAATGGCGGTGTACAGATCTCCGTGTACAGATCTCACTCTAAACATACCTGCTGATCCAGTCCAGCCCCTGTTTGATGGCAGTGTACAGATCCCGCTGGAGTCTGTCCATGACAAGCAGGACAGCAGGAGACATTCCTCCACCATACATGTAGTCAATCACAGAACCACGCAGAGACACAATCCGATCATGTTCTGGTATATTCCTGAAAGAGAAAAACAGACATTTCGTATTATATGTCAGTTACTGAGTGAGTGAGTTTAGTTTTACGCCCCACTCAGCAATATTCCAGCTATATGGTGGCGGTATGTAAATAGTCAAGTCTCGAGCAGACGATCCAGTGATCAACTGTCAGTTACTGAACACAAGAGCATCACATCATAGCACTCAATGACAACTGGAATGGTGTTGTCAATACATAATGCCTTTTAGAATGCAGTCAAATGAAAGATATCTTATACAATCATCCCTTGCAATAACGCCCTTTGTGATACCGCAGTTTCAGTTAAACCACTGAGTAATCTGTGGCTCCTATAAAAACATACCCAAAGTTCCTCAGCGATCACACACCTTTACGTCATCAGAAATAGCCAATCAACAAATCTGCGGTTGTGTCAAGTTAATCATGTATTTGGAATACACTTTCTCAGTTAAGTACAGATACTAGTACCTTGCATTTGAGTCCTATCTGATATTTGAACCCACACCCTCAGAGTAAGGCACTTAATTGTCAGTAATCCAACCCACACAGCTGCTGCAACTTCCACAAAAATGGAAATCTGGTAGTGTGTGGATCACGTCTCCTGTGTTCCCCTCTGACAGGTGTGAGATGGCAAGACACTACACAACAGGATAACACTACAATGTAGCTGTACAAACTCTCACTCATTGTTTTACAACCTGTGTTATACAGACATTGCCGAAGCTATCACTACACATCAGGAACACACTACAATGTAGCTGTACAAACTCTCACTCATTGTTTTACAACCTGTGTTATACAGACATTGCTCACTTTGTGTAGAAGAATTCCAAGGCCAGATCATTCCAGTGTTTGTCATCAGGGGGAACGACTGACTTGATGGCGCAGGGGGCGTGTCCTGCCCAGGAATCACATGCGTATACGACGCCATACTGGCCACGCCCAACCTCTCGCCCCATCTGAGGCATTCCTGTACATGAAGAACACAAACATAACTTCTGTGTCATTATGCTGTCATTAGACAAAAGCTTTAGCAGTATGTGAAACTTGACAATATATGATGTTCATCATTGTTCTTCCTATCATCAAAATATCAGTTTCTACCAAGAAGCCTTCCACATCTTTAGAGATCTGCACTCCACTCAGGGGAAACAACATCAACCATCTGCCATACGATAAAATGACCTTGACTCACGACACAACACACCATCATTGACTCACAACAGAACACAATATCTTGACACACAACACAATATCTTGACACACAACAACACAATATCGTTGACTCAACATAACACAACATCCTTGACTCAACATAACACAATATCTTTGACACAACATAACACAACATCCTTGACTCAACATCACACAATATCCTTGACACACAACACAATATCTTTGACACAACACAACATCCTTGACTCAACATAACACAATATCCTTGATGCACAACACAACATCCTTGACTCAACATAACACAATATCCTTGACACAACACAAAATCCTTGACACACAACAACACAATATCACTGACTCAACATAACACAATATCCTTGACACACAACACAATATCCTTGACTCAACATAACACAATATCCTTGACACACAACACAATATCCTTGACACACAACAACACAATATCCTTGACTCAACATAACACAATATCCTTGACACACAACACAATATCCTTGACACACAACAACACAGTATCCTTGACACACAACACAATATCTTTGACTCACCGTACAACACAAAATCTTTGACTCACCATACAACACAAAATCCTTGACTCACCATACAACACAAAATCCTTGACTCACCATACAACACAAAATCCTTGACTCACCATACAACACAAAAACCTTGACTCACCATACAACACAACATCCTTGAGCGAGGTGCTCTCCAGCGCTAGTTTGGCCACTTTGGGAGCATGCACCTTCCTCAGCTTCAGCCTCTGCTCCTCTATCTTGTCCAGACGCCCTGTGTGCTTCATCTCCAGTTGCTTCAACGCTGACAGAAACGCCTCATGTGACTTGTTCAAGCGGTCCTTTATCTGGGAGGAAATACTCTTTGCTAACCTGAAACATGTATAATATATTTACACAAACAGAATAAACACATACAATATGTGGGTAAGCTATTCATCACTTAAGGCAATATGCCAGCATATTCAGGAACAAAAGATAAACAGTCATTTTTACCCTTGGTACCAAAGAGGGCACATTAATCAGCATTGTGTATCATTGAGATTAAACTCTCCACATTTCACGCAATCAGATCTCTCATGTAACACAATCAATTCTCACCTGCCACGCAATCAACTCTCACCTGTCACACAATCAGATCTCACATGTAACACAATCAATTCCCACCTGTCAAAACATTCAACTCTCACCTGTCACACAATCAACTCCCACCCGTTAAAAATATCAACTCTCACCTGTCAAAACAATCAACTCTCACCTGTCAAATTATCAACTCTCACCTGTCACACAATCAACTCTCACCTGTCATACAATCAACTCTCACCTGTCACACTATCAACTCTCACCTGTCACACGATCAGCTCTCACCTGTCACACAATCAACTCTCATCCGTCAAAACAATCAACTCTCAACTGTCACACAATCAACTCTCACCTGTCACACAATCAACACCCACCCGTCAAAACAATCAACTCCCAACTGTCACACTATCAACTCTCACCTGTCACACTATCAACTCTCACCTGTCACACAATCAGCTCTCACCTGTCACACAATCAACTCTCACCCGTCAAAACAATCAACTCCCAACTGTCACACTATCAACTCTCACCTGTCACACTATCAACTCTCACCTGTCACACAATCAGCTCTCACCTGTCACACAATCAACTCCCACCCGTCAAAACAATCAACTCTCAACTGTCACACTATCAACTCTCACCTGTCACACAATCAGCTCTCACCTGTCACACAATCAGCTCTCACCTGTCACACAATCAACTCCCACCCGTCAAAACAATCAACTCTCAACTGTCACACTATCAACTCTCAACTCTCAACTGTCATACAATCAACTCTCACCTGTCACACAATCAGCTCTCACCTGTCACACAATCAACTCCCACCCGTCAAAACAATCAACTCTCAACTGTCCAACAATCAAACTCTCACCTGTCACACTATCAACTCTCACCTGTCACACTATCAACTCCCACCAGTCAAAACAATCAACTCTCAACTGTCCCACAATCAACTCTCACCTGTCACACTATCAACTCTCACCTGTCACACTATCAACTCTCACCTGTCACACAATCAGCTCTCACCTGTCACACAATCAACTCTCACCAGTCAAAACAATCAACTCTCACACAATCAACTCTCACCTGTCACACAATCAACTCTCACCTGCCACACAATCAACTCCCGTCTGTCACACAATCAGCTCTCACCTGTCACAGAATCAACTCACACCTGTCACACAATCACCTCTCACCTGCCACAGTCAGCTTTCATCTGTCAAACAATCAACTCTCACCTGTCACACAATCATCTCCCTCATCTGTCACACAATTAACTCCCACCTGTTACACATCTGCTCTCACCTGTCTCACAATCAGCTCTCACCTGTCACACAATCAACTCTCATCCGTCAAAACAATCAACTCTCAACTGTCACACAATCAACTCTCACCTGTCACACAATCAACTCCCACCCGTCAAAACAATCAACTCCCACCTGTCACACTATCAACTCTCACCTGTCACACTATCAACTCTCACCTATCATACAATCAACTCTCACCTGTCACACAATCAGCTCTCACCTGTCACACAATCAACTCCCACCCGTCAAAACAATCAACTCCCACCTGTCACACTATCAACTCTCACCTGTCACACTATCAACTCTCACCTGTCACACTATCAACTCTCACCTATCATACAATCAACTCTCACCTGTCACACAATCAACTCTCACCTGTCACACAATCAACTCCCACCCGTCAAAACAATCAACTCTCAACTGTCACACTATCAACTCTCACCTGTCACACAATCAACTCTCACCTGTCACACAATCAGCTCTCACCTGTCACACAATCAACTCCCACCAGTCAAAACAATCAACTCTCACCTGTCAAACTATCAACTCTCACCTGTCACACTATCAACTCTCACCTGTCCCACAATCAACTCTCACCTGTCACACAATCAGCTCTCACCTGTCACACAATCAACTCCCACCCGTCAAAACAATCAACTCTCAACTGTCACACAATCAACTCTCACCTGTCACACTATCAACTCTCACCTGTCACACTATCAACTCTCAACTGTCAAAACAATCAGCTCTCACCTGTCACACAATCAGCTCTCACCCGTCAAAACAATCAACTCTCACACAATCAACTCTCACCTGCCACACAGTCAGCTCTCATCTGTCACACAATCAACTCTCACCTGTCACACAATCAACTCCCACCTGTCACACAATCAGCTCTCACCTGTCACACAATCAACTCACACCTGTCACACAATCACCTCACCTGCCACACAGTCAGCTCTCATCTGTCAAACAATCAACTCTCACCTGTCACACAATCATCTCCCTCATCTGTCATACAATTAACTCCCACCTGTTACACATCTGCTCTCACCTGTCACACAATCAACTCTCACCTTTCACAAAATCAACTCTCACCTGTCACACAATCATCCCTCACCTGTCACACAATCAACTCTCACCTGTAACACCATCAGATCTCAAATGTAACACAATCAACTCTCACCTGTCACACAATCAACTCTCACCTGTAACACCATCAGATCTCAAATGTAACACAATAAACTCTCACCTGTCACACAATCAACTCTCACCTGGCCTCACTGAGACTCCCAAGCATGTCTGCTGCCACCTTCTTCTTCCAGTCAACATCAATCTTGGGAGGTGTCTTCCACGGCATTGACTGAACCATCTGCAGACAAACAAACCACCACAGTCATCAACATGTTCGGAACATGTAAATGTATGACAATTCTGTTGTCTTAGGCTTTCAGTTGGTACTCCAGCTTGATACAGTAATCTTTCTAGATTATCTCCAGAAACAGGTTCCATAAATGTGAGAATTGCTGTGAAATTTATATCAATGGATCACAGAAAATAAGTGACGACATCGGATACTTGCAAAAGGGTTAATCATGGTCAGTCGTCATTCGTTTACAGAACAACCTTCACAACCAGCAAACAACTGTACTTGAGTTGTAAATCCTTTAGAACATTAATACAGTAGAGTATTTAATTTAAAAATAACCCAAGCGAACAACCAAATATATATTTGGTCAATGATTGTTCATCCTTCCACTGATAACTTAACTCAGGGCACAAACTGGAGGGCACAAACTAGCAACAGACATATATCCAAGATGAAAGTTTCTAAAACACTTAGTGTCAAGAAAATAGGTGTGATCCTGAGTTCCCCTACCTGCTTCATCCTCTCCAGCAACACCTTGATCAGGGACGAACTGGACCTCACGGTGATCTCCACCTGATATGCCGCATTCAGAATCTGGCAACAAAACCACATAATCTTGTCATAATCCATCGGACATAATCCATCAAATCACAGCCAGTACATGAGTTGGATGGAGAATATAGACACTGCAAAAATCAATAAAGTCATTTCAAGCATCAATACATGCTCTTCATAACATACAGGATAGAGCCAGACGTACCTGTTTGAGAGCATCTGTCGTTTTGGCCCCTTCTGGGTTTTCCTTGTCCAAGCACTCTAAGCTCTCCAAACAACGGGTCAATGTCCCTGTTAATGTCCATGCATGAATCAGTGGTGGCATAAGATGTGGCAAAAACATTGGGTATGTTACAATGCACTCGTGTATTCAGTGACTCGAATCATATCAAATGTTTGATCAGCATTCTAGAAGTTGATGAGTCAATGAGAAAATATACAACTTAACGGGTAACAACTTCTTGTTCACTGCACAGAGTGAAGTTGCCGTGTAGATTCTTACACAGTTTTCAAGCTTTTCAAGAAGTTGTTATCCATAAAGTTGTCTGCTTTTCTATCTAATCGTATCCCTTCACAAATTCAATTTGTTTTTTGCAGTCATAAGAATCGAATATTCATGAAATATTATTAAAAAAGGAGTGTTTTTACTTCAAATTTAGTTTTCTTTGATGGGCATTTTAAAAGTTGAGTTGATGAAGAATAATGACAATTATTAAGGATATACAACTTCTTTTTTTCTGCCTATGTCGAAACGTCGCCTCCACAGAATAAAAGAAGGTGTATGTCCATAATAATTGTCATTATTCTTCAAATTTAGGGTTATTTATCAAACCTAGGTATGTAAAACAGTATATATCCAAGCCAGGCATGATAATAGTCAACACCGTCAAATGTTTAATTAGACAGTAATGCTGTCATTGGTTATTGCATTGTCATGATAAACGAACACTGTCAACACGGTTCAAAACATATCAAAGACATTTTTGGTAATTGTTTCACTCCATTATAATGCATAATACATCAACTGCTGGCGTCCACACCTTAACCACTAGACATTGTACCCACATGCCCTGGTTTTCGCATGAGAAATAACAGAACTTCAAAAGGCATAAGTTTAGCATGTGTTGATAAGAATAATAAGCAAACAGAATCTCAAATGGAGTTATATTCTGGAAACAGTATGTGATGGACAAACGGACAAGTGAACAGATTGACATTCCCCTATCCCCTTCCAACTTTATGGCATGGTGTAATAAGCAGGTGTCCACAGTGAAATGCATCTCATGTTTCAAAAGGACACACTATTTCTCATTCACAGGTTTAAATAAGTGGACATTTTAGTCAGTAAACTCATAAATAAAGTATATCAAAGAACATTGTATGATAGGCATTGTAATATGACGTACATTACATCTTCAAAATGGCCATTAACGCTAACACATGCTGTCTTGAGCCTTTAGGTTTTCATGTGTATATGTTTCAGTTTGTAAAGGTGCGCTACCACATAAAAAAAGTTCCCACATCAGAATGATAACTCTAGTATATCCAGTTTTCGACCTAGCTTACAGCAAAACAATCTGAATGAAGCCTTGTGCTGCATTGATGTCAGTGAACATGTCTATCGGAGTCGAAACTACATGACTTCAACACAGAATTAGCACATACGACAGGCTCAGCCTGATTTTGAGCATATATATGTTTGGTAATGTATGGTAATAGTAGCATATGGAGTTCCATCTCCTTTTTCTGTTATGAATAAAACAATGACTGACTGGCATGTAGACTCAGATTTGGACCAATTGCTTATATCTGTCAAATAAAGGTCTCTAATACAAAACATTTAATCTATCTCAAGTATAGAAATATATTTATCATCTTTAAACGTGAGAAAATATAGAACTACGTTGTTCATCTCATGATTTATTCATAGAAACAGGCAGACATTGGCATCAAAAGGGAATTTAGAATAAGTAAACTGTGTAATTTAACCTAATTGAAGATGAATATCATTTTCTCCTATGTTCAGCTTACGACTCTTTGAGAACCAAGTGTTTAAAAGCTATTGCTTCATAACATCTATAAATTTGTGCCTTTTGTTAAACCATTCAAGCCAACAATACTTTGAACGATTGTCTATGTACTTACATTATGTATTTTTTACACCGAAAATACCTACTTTGTTAAATGTCTACTGCCTAAATTACACTACAACTGTACTACAGGCCTGTGACCTTTACAGTGCAGAAAATATAGATGATAAACTCAGCGTCATGCTACTGGAAGTATGCCATATTTAGAAACAGCCACAACCTGTCGCTACAGGAAAACACTGTCGAGTAGAGAACAAACATTGATCTAACTGAACAAATGAAAACATGCAGCATGACGTGATCATGACACAGCACGACAGTACAATGTCAACATGTCCGGCACAGTAGCTGACTCTGTCACAGGTTGTAGTACCTATTAATAATGGTGTGTTAACTGTATATGCCTCATATGAGAGGAAAGGTCGCATTGACCCAGGTTTTGATTGGTGAAATTCACAACTGTGGGTATGGTGTTGATAATATAAGTAAAACTCGTCACTCCATCTAAATTTGCTAGGATTTGAACCTAGGACAGGCAGACACTTGCACAGGAGAGAGAAATGATTGTTTGTTTTTGTTTGTTTTTAAACACCACACACAGTAGTATTCCAACGATATAGCAACGGTCTGTAAATAATCAAGTCTAGACCATACAATCCAGCGATCAAACAAGTCAGTGAGCCTGACAACCCGATCCCATTAGTTGCCTCTTACAACAAGCATGGTTGCTGATTCCTAACCTGAATCTTCACTATGAATAGAAAGTTTATGTAATAAAGTAATTATGAATTATTTGGTTCCGAAAAGTACACTCATTACATTACATGACCCTCATATTTCCTGGCAGGATCCATGACATTAGTAACAGTGGGTCCTCTGGACTTCTAGTACTGTAGGGGCGGTGGGGTAGCCTAGTGGTTAAAGCATCTGCTCGTCATGCTGAAGACCCGGGTTCGATTCCCACATGGGTACAATGTGTGAAGCCCATATCTGGTGTCCCCCGCCGTCATATTGCTGGAATATTGCTAAAACCGGCGTAAAACCATCCTTACTCACTCACTCATTCCAGCTTTGTAGGTCAAGACAAAACCTGGTCGAAGCCCGCATGTAAAATTAGAATAAACTGAAACAATGGAGTACTGATAAACTAACATCATCAAGTCTGCACGTATCCTGTATGAAATGTGTGGCAGTGGATAGGCTACAGAGTAAGGCCCAAAAATAAATGTTGTGGTTCCGATTTCCTACATTTCAGAACTAGGGTAGGTAGGTAGGTTTTTTGTTGTTTTTTTGCAAAATATTTTTACATTACTCATGTGTCAGAAAATAAATTTAATTTATTATGTGGTGAGTAAAATTGTTAGGCTCAGAGGGAATATTTAGGGTCGGTCGGGAAATCGGAACCACAAGCTTTTTTTTTTAGGCCTAAGTGGCATGTCTAAGATGTCAAGTTTGTGTCTGCCGGGGGGAGAAGCAGGTAAGTCAACTTGTGGTGGGTTGAGTGGGAGGATAAGGTCAATGTTCAAGAAACAGTCACACCCACGTTACAGGTTTACCATGGAATACACTATCATCCACCAGCCGACAGCTTACCACAGCAGATCAGTCATGTGGAGCAAACACACAGGTCAAGGCCAGGCACCCTGCAGTGAACTCTAACCACTGTTAGCACACACTACAGGGAACCGCCCGAGGTAATGCTGTTGTCCCATACAAAACACTGCAAATCATGTAAATTAACTAACACATTCTTGTCATATCACCCTCATCTTTCATGCTTGGTTTCCTGTATGAAAATATCTAAAAAATGTCAAGTATGTATTCTGTATGAAGCTAGCACAGATTTATAACATCTATAACTGAAGTCTCAGGCAACAAGACAAATGTCAGAGAGGGGATATTAAAAGGATAAACTTTCCCAAGGTACCATTCACCTGTCCCAATGCCAGTCAACTGTACCAGTCTGGTGTCCCAATGTCCCAGTCAGGTGTCCAAATGTATCAGTCAGGTGTCCCAATATCCCAGTCAGGTGTCCCAATGTCCCAGTCAATGTACCAGTCCGGTGTCCCAATATCCCAGTCAGGTGTCCAAATGTATCAGTCAGGTGTCCCAATATCCCAGTCAGGTGTCCAAATGTATCAGTCAGGTGTCCCAATGTCCCAGTCAGTCATCCCAATGTCCCAGTCAATGTACCAGTCAGGTGTCCCAATGTCCCAGTCAGGTGTCCAAATGTATCAGTCAGGTGTCCCAATGTCCCAGTCAGGTGTCCAAATGTATCAGTCAGGTGTCCCAATATCCCAGTCAGGTGTCCCAATGTCCCAGTCAATGTACCAGTCCGGTGTCCCAATATCCCAGTCAGGTGTCCAAATAAATGTATCAGTCAGGTGTCCCAATGTCCCAGTCAGGTGTCCCAATGTCCCAGTCAACTGTACCAGTCCGGTGTCCCAATGTCCCAGTCAGGTGTCCAAATGTATCAGTCAGGTGTCCCAATGTCCCAGTCAACTGTACCAGTCCGGTGTCCCAATGTCCCAGTCAGGTGTCCAAATGTATCAGTCAGGTGTCCCAATATCCCAGTCAGGTGTCCCAATGTCCCAGTCAATGTACCAAATGTGTATCAGTCAGGTGTCCCAATATCCCATTCAGGTGTCCCAATGTCCCAGTCAACTGTACCAGTCCGGTGTCCCAATGTCCAAGTCAGGTGTCCAAATGTATCAGTCAGGTGTCCCAATATCCAAGTCAGGTGTCCAAATGTATCAGTCAGGTGTCCCAATGTTCCAATTTATTGTCCCATTCAATATTCACAATAATCTGGTCTGTCAATGTCCTATTTAACTGTCTATATGTCACAATGTTCTAATAAGATGTCCCAGTGTCCAAATCAACTGTCACTATGTGCCAATTAAGAGTCCCAATGTCCAAGTTAACTGTCCTTAAAAATGATCAAGTTCCACTAGGTGTCCCATTATCCTGAACAAGTATCCCCGAATCCCGATGAACTCAATTTGATGTCACAAGGAGCCAATCATCTGTCCCCATACCAATACTGAGAAAGTGTAATCCAGATATAACATTTGTTACATTCTAATCAAGTTTCACAATGAGCCAATCAGCTCTTGCCAAGTACCAATTAAGTGTCACAATGTCCCAATCACATGCTCTTGAAATTTTACTGTACAATGAGAAGTGTGACCACATACCTGTGGGGATGGTGAGGTAGCCTAGCGGTTAAAGCATTCCCTCGTCATGCTAAAGACCTGGGTTCAATTCCCCACATGGGTACCAGGGCTACAGATAAGGGGCGTACGGGCGTAATGTACGCCTCAAAATCAATTAAGTACGACATAATATAAGATTTCAAGCGTATATCGTAATGCACATAAATACCTTTGTACGCCTAACATTTAGTTTCCGTGCATATCGCGTGCAAATGTAAATCTATTTCGATAAATAGTTGTCAAGTTTATTTTGCCAAACACGATTTGACACATGAGGAAACCCCGACAGTAGGAATCACTTGTGTTGCCATGCAACAATATGCGTCACTATTTTTCGATTGGCTAAAAACTACACTGTTCCTATTTATATCGGACCTGACATTTCGCGCATCACACGGTCGCTCAGTTATTTCTCACGCGTCTTCAAATACAAATACATGGTTGGAAATAGTGATCAATGAATCGTCCAGACAAACCACATCACCAACTCGCTCACACAAAAACATGTCAGTACTCCTTCAAAATTCTCAGTACACCTCCACTTGCAATATGATGTGTAAGTACACTCGCACCCCCAAAAGTTATCTGGAGCCCTGGGTACAATGTGTGAAGATCGTTTCTGGTGTCAGCCGCCATGATATTGCTGGAAAATTGCTAAAAGAGACGTCAAACCATACTCACTCACTCACTGACGCACATACCTGTGTAGGAGTCCCGGAGGATGTCGATGGAGCTGATGAGTTTCCCGGCCACTGCATGATTGAGTCGACTGAGGACCAGTTCCTGGATTTGACCTGTACACATCTTCAGACCCTTGCTGGTCTGAATCTGACCGTTCTCATCAATGTCAACACCTGCAATATCCATGGCAATATCCATACAACATACTTCATGAATGTTAAAAAACACCCCTGGGTTTAAGCTCACATGTAAATGTCATATTCAGGATAAGGATTTCTTTAAAGCATGGATTGATATTATAACCAAACCTGATGCTCCGAGAACAAAAGATGTGAATACATTTGACATTGTGCATGAAGGGAGCACCCACAAAATCAATAATGTTGAAGCCAGCTTCAAAAGCAAGCAAACATATTATTGGTAAGACTGACAGGATTGCACCTGCACCAACCAAATTCCTCCTGCAACCAACCAGCTGTCAAAAGCAAAACAAACATATTATTGCACTGTCATCAACCAACTGACAGGCACTGTCATCACCCAACTAAACCCTCTTGCACTGTCATCACCCAACCAAATTCTTGCACTGTCATCACCAACCAAACAAATCCCTCTTGCACTGTCATCAACCAACTAAACCCCTCTTGCACTGTCACCAACCAACCAAACCCCTCTTGCACTGTCATCACCCAACCAACCAACCAAACCCCTCTTGCACTGTCACCAACCAACCAAACTTCTCTTGCACTGTCACCAACCAACCAAACCCCTCCTGCACTGTCACCAACCAACCAAACCCCTCTTGCACTGTCACCAACCAACCAAACCCCTCTTGCACTGTCACCAACCAACCAAACCCCACTTGCACTGTCATCACCCAACCAACCAAACCCCTCTTGCACTGTCATCAACCAACCAAACCCCTCTTGCACTGTCATCACCCAACTAAACCCCTCTTGCACTGTCATCAACCAACCAAACCCCTCTTGCACTGTCAACCAACCAACCAAGCTCATCTCCTGCACTGTCACCAAAACCAACCAAACCCTCCAAACCCCTCTTGCACTGTCACCAACCAACCAAACCACTCCTAATAACACTGTCACCAACCAACCAAATTCCCAACCAACCAAATCCTCTTGCACTGTCATCAACCAAACAAACCATCAACCAACTCTTTCACACTGTCAACTAAACCAACCAACCAAACCCTCTTACACTGTCATCACCAACCAACCAAACCCCTCTTGCTCATCAACCAACCAAACTGTCATCACCCAAAACCCCTCTTGCACCAAACCAACTCCTCTTGCACTGTCACCAACCAAAAACTCCTCCTGCACTGTCAAACTAAACCCTCCAAACTGTCACTAACCACACAAACTCCTCCTGCACTGTCATCAACCAACCAAACCCTCTTGCAAAACCAACCAAACCCTCTTGCACTGTCACCAACCAACCAAACTCCTCTTGCACTGTCACCAACCAACCAAACCCCTCTTGCACTGTCACCCAAACAAACTAATCTTGCACTGTCACCAACCAACCAAACCCCTCTTGCACTGTCACCAACCAACCAAACCCCTCTTGCACTGTCACCAACCAACCAAACCCCTCTTGCATGCACTGTCACTAACCATCCAAACCCTCATGCACTGTCACTGACCAACCAAACCCTCTCTTGCACTGTCACCAACAACCAAACCCCTCATACTCTAACAAAGTCATCCACTTAACCAATGCCCTCTAGCACTGGCTGCTTCCAAAACAACACCATTTGCAATGAACTCACTCATAAAGTCATATTCCCCAGCTTCTTCAACAAGCTCGTCTTTCATGTTAGAAATGGTCACTGATATCAGAGATTTGATCTCATCCAGTTTTGACACCGCCATCTTGAGGAGGGACTTGTAGAGCTCCTCCTCTTTCTCCTTGGCGAAGTCCAGCTTCTTTGGGGTGATGAGCATGTCGCGGGCCATGTCAAACGCGGACATGATGAACATATTAAGGCACCTGGTGTGAGACTGGTTCAACACTGTTGATGCATTGATCAGATAGCTCTGAAGTGTCCTTCTTGTAAATAGTGCAAACTTTTGGTTAATCTCTTGAAATCGTTCTATGTATTCACTTTCACCTTCATAGTAGTCCCGAGTTAAGGATTTTCTAACCGGCATCTTTCCCGCAACTATATCACTAAGGTATCCAAGCTTACACAGTTGCTGGTACGCCAAATTTGATGACACAAACGACATATTTTTAAAGCCTTGGGACAAGTCTTTGTTTCCTGGCCATTTTGAAGTACTTGTTTGAAGTTCATAGGAAGATGACAGTCTTATTTGATGGGTTGGCGAACCTGGAGCCCCATCAGGTGGGTCCGTATCAACTGTCCTTGACCCAGGGGGAGGAACTCGTACAAAGAACACAGGACGAAAATTTGTGACCTTCCCGAGTTCACTCAGTTCATTTATATCCTGAAAAAGCAGAAATGATGTTGGTTAGTTGAGATAGAGTTTTCAACAAGTAACTTACAGGGGGAAATAACTTTAAAATTGCTAGTGTACTCCGGTACAGTGGCACATGTAAAATCACTTGCCCTGATAATTTGTCCACTATACCGTCCGTTTTCTTGTTGATTTTAAAAAAAAAAAAAAAAATTTACATTGGAACATCAACTGGACACAGGTACAGTGTGATATACAAATTTGCTTGCCCGACAGAAAAAAACACTGGACTCGGACGTCGGGCAAAGGGTTATTTCCACCCCTGACTTATCTCGCATAAGTTGAGAATGATCTGGTTGGTTGGTTTGTTGTTTAACCTCACACTCAGCAATATTCCAGCTATATGACTGCGGTCTGTCAATGATCAAGTCTGGACCTGACAATCCAGTGATTCAACAGCATGAGCATCGATCTAACTCTAAGCAATTGGGATAAGATGACACGTGTCCACCAAGTCAGCAAGCATGGTCACATAATTCCGTTAGTTGCCTTTAACGACAAGCATTGGTTGTTGAAGATCAATCCTAATCCGGATCTTCACGGGTTACTTGAGAATGAGACAAAATATACAAAAATTATGCCAGGGAAGCCTGTACTTTTATTTAGAAGAGGCTGCACAGAAAATGCACAGAAAATGCTGTATCAAGTACTCCAGCAATGTATAGAGAACATTGTGTATATATATATGCTCACACACCTGGGGGTGCTGGTGTTTCCTCTGTTCTTCTCCAGGTTTCTTCACAGAACTATTGCACTGTGGGTGATATGCCAGGGAATATTAATAAATTGCTTCTAAGTATGTAACAGTTTAAACATGAAGTGTAAAACCTTTGTCAGCTTTGTGTGTATTTCAGTGTTGTTACTTTGAGACTCTTTCAGTGTTGTCACAACCCTAGTGTACAGTACACAACCCTGTGCACATGGAGAACAAATAGGTGCATGACCAGATGGTGGCCACAGGAATACGTGCAAACACCTACCCTGTGTACAGCAACGTGCAGTGTTCTTCTCAACGTGCTGGACTTCTGTCCCAGTACAAGCTGTGAATGGGTACCTCGTTAGGATGATATTCTGGCTCTAGTGGCTGCAAGAGATGTATACTCCCAGGGAGTTGAAATTGATAATACTTTCTGTGGCGTTGAGATTGACATCCAATGATCGAGGGAACAAATACCAGCGCCTTGAGCATGCACTAGTTGCCTGGATATGTGCGCTATATAAATATCCTATAATAAATAATAATGAAGTGGAAATTGAAGTATTACTTTTGAGAATGTATAGAGTGTTGAAAATATATAAAACATGTTTAACATGAAGTGGATACCTTTTATACCTTTTTGAAAATGAACTGTCTCATGTCAATTATATGCTCCGTAAGCACATTGTACTTATATTCCACTTGAATTCTAAAATGTTTCATGTGTATTTGTAAGCAAGCAATGATAATATTATTATGTTATGCTGAAATGACCCACGTACTTTACTCACACATACTGATGTCAAACTGATGTGTGGGTATGCAGGGGTAGCCTAGTGGTCAAAGTGTTCCCTCGTTATGCCAAGACCCGGGTTCAATTCCCAACATGGATACAATGTGTGAAGCCCATTTCTGGAGTCTCCCGCTCTGATTTTGCTAAAAGCGGTGCAAAAATAAAACCTCACTCACTCTGGGTATGCCTCTTTGCACTAGGAATGTATCTGGTGCTATTATTATTTCAACCATGCCACTCCACAAGACAAGCATTTTGTACCCAGTACATAATAGTCCGCTGTTACCTCCCCTTGCAAGTTGAACAACCTGACATAGTTTCCTACATTAATAATCTGGTTTAATCAAGATAACAATAACATAATTAGGAGCTGATGAGTACATGTCAATCAAATGAAACTTGATTCAAACAAAGGGACATCGTATATCTGTCTTCATATATCCATTTCCATTGTTGATGAATATTAAATGAAAATTTACAATATAGATGATGGTGGTACAGCTAAAACAATAGGTGAAGTGAGGTGAAATTGGGTTTAACGCCGTGCTTGAGAATATTTCGCTCATATGACGACGTGCATGCGTGTGTATGTGTATGTGCAGCTGCTTGTACTAGCCCAGACTAAAGCTGGTTTTATAGTGCTAGCTCACTGAGATACCATGCCGCAGTGAAGCATGAATACCCCACTCAGACACATTATACTGACTCCGAGCCGACCAGTCCTTGTTGTACCCATTAATGCCGGGCACCAGGAAGGGACCAACAAGTACCATATTTTAACGTCTTTTGGTATGACGCGGTCGGGGATCGAACCCGCGACCTTCCGCTCTCTGGGCGGACGCTCTAACCACTACACAAAGGAGGCGGTCTTGATGAATATTAAATGAAAATTTACAATATAAAGGATGGCGATACAGCTGAAACAATAGAGGTCTGCATTGTTTATTCCAATACACAGATACCAACAACAAAGGACTCAAAATAACCACATTGTTGTCAACATCATTGGCAATAGCAAACTACACAATGAGATATCTGGCCCACTTACATGACAAACGGTTACGCACTAGTTACAGCGTTTATGTAGTTCAACATCGACACAAACAGATCGCAGATATACAATCTATGAATGTGTGACATCAGTCACACACGGTGACTATCACTATAACAATGACAATAATCTCTACACCAGGGATTTACAGGACGTCCTATACTCATAAAATTTACAATGAACGCGACTGAATTTATTAGCGCGTCCACAGGGACTCAGAAAAAGTCCATATGCTTTTTGTAAAAATTCCAATCAAGTGACAGTAAGTTATCACTGAGTTTGCTACTAGCTGGGTTATGGTATTATTGGAATTTAATTACTGTAACAATGTGATGATCATGATACACAATACAATAACAGTATTGATAATAATATTTAAGTGTCTTGGATCCCCATTTTGTTGGCCAGGACCCCTGAATATTAAGAATATGAGTCCCAGGAACCCTCAAATACAGGAATCGAGGTAAATCACTGCTACAACTACTGCTACTTGGCACATTTCCAGTATTCTTTGATCATGGCTTCAATATATAAAAGCAAACTATTCACACAAAAAAAACCTACACAATTCCTCAACAGAAAGTTTTGAAATGCTGATGTAGATACATATCAAATTTACTGATGGAAACTGTGCAGCCAAGAAACTATGTAGCCAAGCGTAAAATTTCCATATTGGTTTTCTTCCTAAAATGGACATACACACACAGGGTTTTACCTCGACTCACAAAAATTATTAGCCTTAAGGGTCCTTCTGGCATTGTGAAGGTCCTGTGAAGTAACTGTGTAGAGAACTTTATGTTTTAATAATTTCTTTAGAGCTTGAAATGAACCATTGATCATGTGAACTGATGGGTGAAATGTTGCGTGCAACTGCTCTGAAAGAACAACCAAACACTAAGCAGAGTCATAGAGTGAGTGAGTGAGTGAGTTTAGTTTTACGCCGCTCTCAGCAATATTCCAGCTATGTGGCGGCGGTCTGTAAATAATTGAGTCTGGACCAGACAATCCAGTGATCAACAGCATGAGCATCGACCTAGGCAATTCAGAGTCATAGATGTGTTGGGGTACAGTGAATAATACTGTGCATCCCTCTGGACACAGTGAATCTTTTTCTGCGTCCATTCTCTACATTTGTGGGTACTGGACGCACATTTGCACGTCGCGTAAAACCATGACACATCTGCAATAGTTCAAATATGCTCTTACAAATCTACAACAAATAATGAACTCTAGGTTTCTGAAAATGACAAGATTCTCAGAATGTTCCTGGGCCATTTTTTCAAGACACCGTTAAAGGAATTAACAAACTTCAACTGTTTTGTCTGTGACCTTGACATGTTTTACATCTAATGTTCAAACTACTTCAGTTTGGTTTGTTGTTTAGCGCCGCTCTCAGCAAAATTCCAGCTACATGGCGGCAGTCAGAAAATACTCAAGTCCGGACCAGACAATCCAATGACTGACAACATGAGCATTGTTCTACGCAATTTGGCAAGTCGAAGTTAAAGCACTTTCTTTTTAGTGTATTTTCTTTTCTTTTAAAAACTTCCTTTTTTCATAAAATTTGTTTATTTCTGAGAGAAAGTCTCTGGTCTCTCTCTTTAATGTATTTTATTTTCATTTAAAAACTCTGTTTTTGTTAAATATGTTCACTTCCAAGACGAGATGTTAGGCCATATGTCTCCCTACGTTGAATTGTCAAGGGTCAACGTTACTCCCTGGATTGACATTCCAAGGTCAGCCATCAGCCTCGTATCACACAAATGACTCAATCTGACAGATTAATTGCAATCAGGATTGTGACTTTTGACCCTGGCCACACCATGGTCTCCTTTCTCAACTCACACAGAATCTGTGACAAGTGTATCCTTGGAAACAAATGTGCTGATATGAGCAAAAGAGCCACATGAAAACAAATTTACAGACATTGTGTCTCTTTACATGTGTACCATACAATATGTCTTCATGACAACATGTTGACAAGAATGTAACCTTGTCAAAAAAGAGATGGCTGCGGTTAGAATATAGGTCCCCGACCTGTAACATGAGGCCACAAAATGGATCAGGTGGGCAGACAAGATGACTTGTTAAATTACATCTCCCAACTGTATCGTACTGACCCATGCTCATGAGATCAATCACTGGACTATCTGGTCCAGATTCAAATTTCAATTATTTTCTGTTTGTTTACACACTGTTGTCATATATCTGAAATTTTATTTTAGGTACTGAGTGAGAGAGTGAGTGAGTTTAGTTTCACGCCGCACTCGGCAATATTCCAGCTATATGGCGGCGGTCTGTAAATAATCGAGTCTGGACCAGACAATCCAGTGATCAACAGCAAGAGCATCAATCTGCGCATTTGGGAACAGATGACATGTGTCAACCAAGTCAGCGAGCCTGACCACCCGATCCCGTTAGTCGCCTCT